AAAAGCAAAACAAAACAAAATACATAAAAGCAACATTGAATAACCATCATATTGAAGTAAACTTGGAATCATGCGATGATGTGTTACATATAGGCCTACCAGCACGACGTGGAAAACCATGAAACGTTGATAGGCAGATGAAATGGTTATGATGAATTTCACATGGTGATCATGCAAATGTCAACAGGCTAAATGTCGAGGGTAGGATATTATTTTAATGCCGGTGACATGATGAGTGTTGCTTGGCTGCCAATTATCAAATAAAATGATCTTGCTCTTATCCATATCTAATCATAACCCCCTGTCCACTTTATCAGCTAACTGTTGTCTAGAGAGCATGTGCCAAAACCAGATTGGGCAAGTTTGCCATTTATTGCAACAGTTTTTGTAACAAAACCATCTATAAGAGTTGAAAATGCGATGGAAACCCATTTAACTTATGTTTTTTTATTCGGTACATGGGAAATTAACTGCCAAATATACAGTGGGGGAAAAAAGTATTTAGTCAGCCACCAATTGTGCAAGTTCTCCCACTTAAAAAGATGAGAGAGGCCTGTCATTTTCATCATAGGTACACATCAAAAAATCACATTGTAGGATTTTTAATGAATTTATTTGCAAATTATGGTGGAAAATAAGTATTTGGTCAATAACAAAAGTTTCTCAATACTTTGTTATATACCCTTTGTTGGCAATGACACAGGTCAAACGTTTTCTGTAAGTCTTCACAAGGTTTTCACACACTGTTGCTGGTATTTTGGCCCATTCCTCCATGCAGATCTCCTCTAGAGCAGTGATGTTTTGGGGCTGTCGCTGGGCAACACAGACTTTCAACTCCCTCCAAAGATTTTCTATGGGGTTGAGATCTGGAGACAGCCATGCCACTCCAGGACCTTGAAATGCTTCTTACGAAGCCACTCCTTCGTTGCCCGGGCGGTGTGTTTGGGATCATTGTCATGCTGAAAGACCCAGCCACGTTTCATCTTCAATGCCCTTGCTGATGGAAGGAGGTTTTCACTCAAAATCTCACGATACATGGCCCCATTCATTCTTTCCTTTACACGGATCAGTCGTCCTGGTCCCTTTGCAGAAAAACAGCCCCAAAGCATGATGTTTCCACCCCCATGCTTCACAGTAGGTATGGTGTTCTTTTGATGCAAAACAGCATTCTTTGTCCTCCAAACACGACGAGTTGAGTTTTTACCAAAAAGTTCTATTTTGGTTTCATCTGACCATATGACATTCTCCCAATCCTCTTCTGGATCATCCAAATGCACTCTAGCAAACTTCAGATGGGCCTGGACATGTACTGGCTTAAGCAGGAGGACACGTCTGGCACTGCAGGATTTGAGTCCCTGGCGGCGTAGTGTGTTACTGATGGTAGGCTTTGTTACTTTGGTCCCAGCTCTCTGCAGGTCATTCACTAGGTCCCCCCGTGTGGTTCTGGGATTTCTGCTCACCGTTCTTGTGATCATTTTGACCCCACGGGGTGAGATCTTGCGTGGAGCCCCAGATCGAGGGAGATTATCAGTGGTCTTGTATGTCTTCCATTTCCTAATAATTGCTCCTACAGTTGATTTCTTCAAACCAAGCTGCTTACCTATTGCAGATTCAGTCTTCCCAGCCTGGTGCAGGTCTACAATTTTGTTTCTGGTGTCCTTTGACAGCTCTTTGGTCTTGGCCATAGTGGAGTTTGGAGTGTGACTGTTTGAGGTTGTGGACAGGTGTCTTTTATACTGATAACAAGTTCAAACAGGTGCCATTAATACAGGTAACGAGTGGAGGACAGAGGAGCCTCTTAAAGAAGAAGTTACAGGTCTGTGAGAGCCAGAAATCTTTTTTGTTTGTAGGTGACCAAATACTTATTTTCCACCATAATTTGCAAATAAATTCATTAAAAATCCTACAATGTGATTTTCTGGATTTTTTTCCTCAATTTGTCTGTCATAGTTGACGTGTACCTATGATGAAAATTACAGGCCTCTCTCATCTTTTTAAGTGGGAGAACTTGCACAATTGGTGGCTGACTAAATACTTTTTTCCCCCACTGTATACAGTGGGGAGAACAAGTATTTGATACACTGCAGGTTTTCCTACTTACAAAGCATGAAGAGGTCTGTAATTTTTATCATAGGTACACTTTAACTGTGAGAGACGGAATCTCCAGAAAATCCAGAAAATCACATTGTATGATTTTTAAGTAGTTAATTAAAATCCAGAAAACCATTAGTAACACACTATGCCGTCATGGATTAAAATCCTGCAGCGCACGCAAGGTCCCCCTGCTCAAGCCAGCGCATGTCCAGGCCCATCTGAAGTTTGCCAATGACCATCTGGATGATCCAGGGGAGGAATGGGAGAAGGTAATGTGGTCTGATGAGACAAAAATAGAGCTTTTTGGTCTAAACTCCACTCGCCGTGTTTGGAGGAAGAAGAAGGATGAGTACAACCCCAAGAACACCATCCCAACCGTGAAGCATGGAGGTGGAAACATCATTCTTTGGGGATGCTTTTCTGCAAAGGGGACAGGACAACTGCACCGTATTGAGGGGAGGATGGATGGGGCCATGTATCGCGAGATCTTGGCCAACAACCTCCTTCCTTCAGTAAGAGCATTGAAGATGGGTCATGGCTGGGTCTTCCAGCATGACAACGACCCGAAACACACAGCCAGGGCAACTAAGGAGTGGCTCCGTAAGAAGCATCTCAAGGTCCTGGAGTGGCCTAGCCAGTCTCCAGACCTGAACCCAATAGAAAATCTTTGGAGGGAGCTGAAATTCCGTATTGCCCAGCGACAGCCCCGAAACCTGAAGGATCTGGAGAAGGTCTGTATGGAGGAGTGGGCCAAAATCCCTGCTGCAGTGTGTGCAAACCTGGTCTAGACCTACAGGAAACATATGAACTCTGTAATTGCAAACAAAGGTTTCTGTTCCAAATATTAAGTTCTGCTTTTCTGATGTATCAAATACTTATGTGGCCGTGCTCGTCACTAGGACTGACTTCTGCGTGCACAAAGACCAGCCCTGTGACACAGTGGGTGAGGAATCACAACCGTATGTGTGTGTGTGTCTGTGTGTGTATTGAAATAGTCTGTCTGTGGCCCTTGGTGACCTCTGAGATTCCTGTCCCCTGAAAAGGATAAGCAGGTGACATTTCAACCTACCTGGTCTGTGAGAACCTCTCAAGTACACATACGCGCGCACACACACACACACACACACACACACACACACACACACACACACTTTGGAGATAAAACCACACGCGCACTGCAGATAAGACCCTGCTGTAATCTGTCTGTCTCTGTCGCACCACTGTAACTGTAATCTGTCTCTCTACCGCCCCACTGGAACTGTAATCTGTCTGTCTCTGTCGCACCACTGTAACTGTAATCTGTCTCTCTCCCGCCCCAGTGTAACTGTAATCTGTCTCTCTCCCACCCCACTGTAACTGTAATCTGTCTCTCTCCCACCCCACTGTAACTGTAATCTGTCTCTCTCCCACCCCACTGTAACTGTAATCTGTCTCTCTCCCACCCCACTGTAACTGTAATCTGTCTGTCTCTCCCACCCCACTGTAACTGTAATCTGTCTCTCTCCCACCCCACTGTAACTGTAATATGTCTCTCTCCCACTCCACTGTAACTGTAATCTGTCTCTCTCCCGCCCCACTGTATCTGTAATCTGTCTGTCTCTCCCACCCCACTGTAACTGTAATCTGTCTCTCTCCCGCCCCCACTGTAACTGTAATCTGTCTCTCTCCCACCCCACTGTAACTGTAATCTGTCTCTCTCCCACCCCACTGTAACTGTAATCTGTCTCTCTCCCACCCCACTGTAACTGTAATCTGTCTCTCTCCCACCCCACTGTAACTGTAATCTGTTTCTCTCCCACCCCACTGTAACTGTAATCTGTCTCTCTCCCACCCCACTGTAACTGTAATCTGTCTCTCTCCCACCCCACTGTAACTGTAAACTGTCTCTCTCCCACCCCACTGTAACTGTAATCTGTCTCTCTCCCACCCCACTGTAACTGTAATATGTCTCTCTCCCGCTCCACTGTAACTGTAATCTGTCTCTCTCCCGCCCCACTGTAACTGTAATCTGTCTGTCTCTCCCACCCCACTGTAACTGTAATCTGTCTCTCTCCCGCCCCACTGTAACTGTAATCTGTCTCTCTCCCACCCCACTGTAACTGTAATCTGTCTCTCTCCCACCCCACTGTAACTGCAATCTGTCTCTCCCACCCCACTGTAACTGTAATCTGTCTGTCTCTGTCGCCCCACTGTAACTGTAATCTGTCTGTCTCTCCCACCCCACTGTAACTGTAATCTGTCTCTCTCCCACCCCACTGTAACTGTAATCTGTTTCTCTCCCACCCCACTGTAATCTGTCTCTCTCCCACCCCACTGTAACTGTAATCTGTCTCTCTCCCACCCCACTGTAACTGTAATCTGTTTCTCTCCCACCCCACTGTAACTGTAATCTGTCTCTCTCCCACCCCACTGTAACTGTAATCTGTCTCTCTCCCACCCCACTGTAACTGTAATCTGTCTCTCTCCCACCCCACTGTAACTGTAATCTATCTCTCTCCCACCCCACTGTAACTGTAATCTGTCTCTCTCCCACCCCCACTGTAACTGTAATCTGTCACTCTCCCACCCCACTGTAACTGTAATTATGTCAGTGACAGACATGGTTAAAAGACCAAGAGGTCAGTGTGTGTGTACATGCGTGTGTATGTGCAATGTGCGTGTGTCGCTCTGTGTGTGTGTGTGTGTGGTTTAACTGCTGCTCAGCGGTTTACATAGCAGCGTTCCAGCATGAAATCCAGCATGAAATCCCCATTCCCATCTGTCCTATGGAATGGCATTAAGGCATTCCCAGTGTATCTGTCCTATGGAATGGCATTAAGGCATTTCCAGTGTATCTGGCCTATGGAATGGCATTAAGGCATTCCCAGTGTATCTGGCCTATGGAATGGCATTAAGGCATTCCCAGAATGAAGCACCTGTGTGCTCCTATTCTCCTGGGTGGGCTGGGGCCGAGCTTCCCACAGCAGAATATTGAGAGACAAAGACCACAGACACCCTACCACTTCTACCCCCTACCTCTGTACCCCAGACCCCCTAACCCCCCCTACCTAGATCCCCTACCTCTGTACCCCAGACCCCCTAACCCCCCCTACCTAGATCCCCTACCTCTGTACCCCAGACCCCCTAACCTCCCCTGTAGCTCAGCTGGTAGAGCACGGCGCTTGTAACGCCAAGGTAGTGGGTTCGATCCCCGGGACCACCCATACACAAAAAAACAAAATTTATGCACGCATGACTGTAAGTCGCTTTGGATAAAAGCGTCTGCTAAATGGCATATTATTATTATTATTATTATTATTATTTATGTCATGCAATAAAATGCAAATTAATTACTTAAAAATCATTCAATGTGATTTTCTGGATTTCTGATTCTGTCTCTCACAGTTGAAGTGTACCTATGATAAAAATTACAGACCTCTTCATGCTTTGTAAGTAGGAAAACCTGCAAAATCGGCAGTGTATCAAATACTTGTTCTCCCCACTGTATATATATATATATATATATATATGTGCACTGTCATCACAGTTTTTTTTATCTGCAACAAGTCCGTTTGATGGGAATACACCTCTGGTGGGAAAATGCACACATTGGTCTCATGCAGATTTAGTTTATAGGCACCAATTGGATGGACACCTAGCTACTGTTGACACATTTACATTTAGTCTGTATGGTGACAAACATGAAAAAATCAGGTGACTTATTTTTGTTCTTATGCTCTTATCGACCTTCCCAGGACCAATGCACATTTTGAATTCTCTACCGCAAAGTTCTCAATCGAGGTCTTTCTCCCTTTCTGAAAACCAGGGAGATTCTGGTGGCCCCCTAACGTGTCATGAAGCCTCTGGCCAGTGGTTTGTTGCCGGGGTGACCAGCTGGGGACATGGCTGCGGATAGACTGGTTTCCCAGGAGCCTACATGTGGGTCACTGCCATCAGGGAATGGATATCCAACTATCTGCCTTTCTGAGGCTATGGAAAAGAGGAGGAATTGAGACATCATACAATACTTGACACAATGGGTTTTCTACATTGCAGCCACCACTGGTATTTCTTGTGCGCTACTGGTCAAGGATGATGTATGTCCTCTACCATCATGAAACTACCAGGAAATCTTGGACTAATGTGTACAACGATAGTCTGTGGACATTTTACTAAAACATGCATTTGGGATGTTGTGTATTTATTTTATCGTATTTGTTGAGAAAACATCTATACGGTGTAAGCATTTTGATTTCTGTGGGTTCAAAAATATATTTAATTTATTGGTGTTTACATTATTGTAATTATTCATTTGCAGCCAACCAGCTTTTTAATGTAAATTATGTGGGCTAACTAACTAAAAGTTGGACAAAGCAACATTTTTATAGCAGATGCTCAGGAACTGAGCCTTGCATGAAAGCATCTTTATGTAGTGTAGCTAAATCTACATTTCTGGAAGGAGTTCAGGCCCTACAAGAAATATGACCCAACGACACAGTTTCCACCAGCATGGAAGAATGTATTTTAAATATGCAAGGAATAGAAAACAGGGCACAAATGCTTGATCTGAATTTATTTATTTACGTCTCACAAGTGAAAAAGGCCATTCCAGTCAGTCACAAACACACCTCTGAGCAGGAGCACCCACCTTTAAGCACTCACAGGCCATTTCTTTTTACTTCCCTACACAAGTCAAAGGGATGAATGAAGGAGTGTTGTTCCCAGAAATCTAACAAACCAAGCCAGCCAGGTTCAATACAAAGTCTGCACCACAGCAGACCCTGTTAAACAGATCCACTAGGGCAGATATTGACAACTGGAACGCAAGTCTGACAATACTGTTTTGTTCTCGACACGTATTCTGATATAGGATTGTTTAGCTGGTCCGAGTGCCTGGTTCACAATTATGAAAACAAAAAAAATTGTTCCTCAATTCTTCCACAGGGAAGAAACTAGGTTTAGGAAGGTGGTAAAAGAAGCCTTGCCTAATCCCCTCAGGGAACTGGTGTTTCACCCACACTCACAGCCAGTAACCAACTGAAGAATAGGTAACTGGCACTGAACTTTTAGGGGACGGTTACAGAGTAGACTTGAAAGTGACACATTATAATTGCACAGAATCTTTTCTTGTTAACATTCATTCATGTGTCTTTTAATAATAATGAAAAACAATAGAAGATATCCATTTGTTAAAATATCCTTTTAGTGAAAGGAAAATGTCCACCATCATTATTGTTGCCGTTCACAGGATCTCCAAACATGTCCGTTAGGAGTTCTCACAGAAGTTTGTGTGTCATTGTGCTACACATGCTCTTGCAGCCTCAGCCACTAACACCTTCCCTGCCATTCGTTTTGGCTTTGCAAAGGTATGGCTGGCAGAGTAGGATGATGTTCATATACGAGCTCTTTCCCTCTGTAGTCTGGAGTTGTAGGCACGGGACACGGTATTCCATGCATCCATATATCGATCCATGCACATAGCGATGCATTTCTGCAATAAACAGAAAAATATATCAGTGAGCATTACCCTGTTCCACAGCATAATATTAGCATTTTCAAATTTGCACCTTATCTGAGGTCTCAAATTAAAAATCACTGACTCAAGGTAGGGGTCACAATTCCTCATATACAGTTGAAGTCGGAAGTTCACATACACCTTGGCCAAATACATTTAAAATCTGTTTTTCACAATTCCTGACACTTAATCCTAGTAAAAATTCCTGTCTTAGGTCAGTTAGGAACACCACTTTATTTTAAGAATGTGAAATGTCAGAATAATAGTAGAGAGTGATTTATTTCAGCTTTTATTTATTTCAATCACATTCCCAGTGGGTCAGAAGTTTATATACACTCAATTAGTATTTCGTAGCATTGCCTTTAAATTGTTTAACTACGGTCAAACATTTTGGGTAGCCTTCCACAAGCTTCCCACAATAAGTTGGGTGAATTTTGGCCCATTCCTCCTGACAGAGCTGGTGTAACTGAGTCAGGTTTGTGGCCTCCTTGCTCACACAGGCTTTTTTCAGTTCTGCCCACACATTTTCTATAGGATTGAGGTCAGGGCTTTGTGATAGCCATTCCAATACCTTGACTTTGTTGTCCTTAAGCCATTTTGGCACAACTTTGGAAGTAAGCTTGGGGTCATTGTCCTTTTGGAAGACCCATTTGCGACCAAGCTTTAACTTCCTGACTGATGTCTTGAGATGTTGCTTCAATATATCCACATAATTGTTCTTCCTCATGATGCCATCTATTTTGTGAAGTGCATGATGCTGCCACCCCCGGCCTTCACGGTTGGGATGGTGTTCTTCGGCTTGCAAGTTACCCCCTTTTTCCTCTAAACTTAACGATGGTCATTATGGGCAAACAGTTCTATTTTTGTTTCATCAGACCAGAGGAGATTTCTCCAAAAAGTAAGATATTTGTCCCCATGTGCAGTTGCAAACCGTAGTTTGTCTTTTTTATGGCGGTTTTGGAGCAGTGGCTTCTTCCTTGCTGAGCGGCCTTTCAGGTTATGTCGATATAGGACTCGCTCTACTGTGGATATAGATACTTTTGTACCCGTTTCCTCCAGCATCTTCACAAGGTCCTTTGCTGTTGTTCTGGGATTGATTTGCACTTTTCACACCAAAGTACATTCATCTCTAGGAGACAGAACGCGTCTCCTTCCTGAGCGGTATGACGGCTGCGTGGTCCCATGGTGTTTATACTTGCGTACTATTGTTTGTACAGATGAACGTGGTACCGTCAGGCGTTTGGAAATTGCTGGCTGATTTCTTTTGATTTTCCCATGATGTCAAGCAAAGAGGCACTGAGTTTCAAGGTAGGCCTTGAAATACATCCACAGGTACACCTACAATAGACTCAAATGATGTCAATTAGCCTATCAGAAGCTTCTAAAGCCATTACATAATTTTCTGGAATTTCCCAAGCTGTTTAAAGGCACAGTCAACTTAATGTATGTAAACTTCTGACCCACTGGAATTGTGATACAGTGAATTATAAGTGAAATAATCTGTCTGTAAACAATTGTTGGAAAAATTACTTGTGTCATGCACAAAGTAGATGTCCTAACCGACTTGCCAAAACTATAGTTTGTTAACAAGAAATTTGTGGAGTGGTTGAAAAATGAGTTTTAATGACTCCAACCTAAGTGCATGTAAACTTCTGACTTCAACTGTACATATACCATCCCATCAATAATCTGGATAACCCAGTGCCACTGACGAGGCCCACTACCAAGGACTGAGGCCTCCTTCTCCATGGCCGACGTGATTAAGACATTTAAGCATGTTAACCCCCGCAAGGCTGCCGGCCCAGACGGCATTCCCTAGCCGCGTCCTCAGAGCATGCGCAGACCAGCTGGCTGGTGTGTTTATGGACATATTCAAATCTCTCCGTTTCCCAGTCTGCTGTTCCCACATGCTTCAAGATGGCCACCATTGTTCCGGTACCCAAGAAACCAAAGGTAACTGAACTAAACAACTATCGCCCAGTAGCACTCACCTCTGTCATCATGAAGTGCTTTGAGAGACTAGTCAAGGATCATATCACCTCTACCTTCCCTGTCACCCTAGACCCACTTCAATTTGCTTACCGCCCCAATAGAGCCACAGACGATGCAATCGCCATCACACTGCCCTATCCCATCTGGACAAGAGGAATACCTATGTAAGAATGCTGTTCATTGACTATAGCTCAGCATTCAACACCATAGTACCCTCCAAGCTCATCATTAAGCTTGAGGCCCTGGGTCTGAACCCTGCCCTGTGCAACTGGGTCTTGGACTTCCTGACGGGCCGCCCCCAGGTGGTGAAGTTAGGAAACAACATCTCCACTTCGCTGATCCTCAACACTGGGGCCCCACAAGGGTGCGTGCTCAGCCCACTCCTGTACTCCCTGTTCACCCATGACTGCGTAGCCAAGCACACCTCCAACTCAATCATCAAGTTCGCAGACGACACAACAGTAGTAGGCTTGATTACCAACAATGACGAGACCGCCTACAGGGAGGAGGTGAGGGCTCTGGGAGTGTGGTGCCAGGAAAATAACCTCTCACTCAACATCAACAAAACAAAGGAGATGATCGTGGACTTCAGGAAACAGCAGAGGGTGCACCCCCCTATCCACATTGATGGGACCGCAGTGGAGAAGGTGGAAAGCTTCAAGTTCCTTGGGGTACACATCACCGACAAACTGAAATGGTCCACCCACGCAGACAGTGTGGTGAAGAAGGCGCAACAGAGCCTCTTCAACCTCAGGAGGCTGAATAAATTTGGCTTAGCACCTAAAACCCTCACAAACTTTTACAGATGCACAATTGAGAGCATCATGTCAGGCTGTATAACCGCCTGGTACGGCAACTGCACCGCCCGCAACTGCAGGGCTCTCCAGAGGGTGGTGCAGTCTGCCGAACGCATTACCGGGGGCAAACTACCCACCCTCCAAGACACATACAGCACCCGATGTCACAGGAAGGCCAAAAAGATCATCAAGGACATCAACCACCTGAGCCACTGCCTGTTCACCCCGCTATCATCCAGAAGGCGAGGTCAGTACAGGTGCATCAAAGCTGGGACAGAGAGAATGAAAAACAGCTTCTATCTCAAGGCCATCAGACTGTTAAATAGCCATCACTAGCACATTAGAGGCTGCTGCTGCCTATTGAAATCACTGGCCACTTTAAGAAATGGAACACTATTCACTTTAATCATGTTTACATATCTTGCACTACTCATCTCATATGTATATACTGCATTCTATTCTATAATATTCTACTGTATCTTAGTCCATGCCACTCTGTCATTGCTTGTCCCTATATGTATATATATTTAAATCCCATTTCTTACTAGTTTTGTGTGTATTGGGTATATGTTGTGAAATTGTTAGATATTAATGCACTGTCGGAGCTAGAAGCAAAAGCATTTCGCTACACCCGCTATAACATCTGCTAAACACGTGTATGTGACAAATAATTTTATTTTATTTTTATTTTTATATTTCACCTTTATTTAACCAGGTAAGCCAGTTGAGAACAGGTTCTCATTTACAACTGCGACCTGGCCAAGATAAAGCATAGTAGTGCAATAAAACAACAACACAGAGTTACATATGGGGTAAAAAACATAAAGTCAGAAATACAACAGAAAATATATATACAGTGTGTGCAAATGTAGCAAGTTATGGAGGTAAGGCAATAAATAGGCTATAGTGCAGAATAATTACAATAGTATTAACACTGGAATGCTAGATGTGCAAGAGATTATGTGCAAATAGAGATACTGGGGTGCAAATGAGCAAAATAAATAACAATATAGGGATGAGGTAGTTGGGTGGGCTGCAAATAAAATACACTGGCATACCTGTTCAGAGTTGTCCAACGTGCCTCCTGGTTTGCCTATGCATTTCTTGAAACATTTGTCTGTCATTCTCTACAACAAAAGAAAAAAGAAAAAGGTTTAACCCACCTTCATTCAGCGAGCTAGATAAAGTAATGATCACCTCAAGGTTCAGGCTCCATGACCTCTGACAGGCAGTTTGGCTAATAACTGCATTGATAATAATAGGCCTGGCCTACCAACCAATCTTGGAGTTTTAAGTTAACCATGATAGAAAAATACAGTAGAAGATAGCAAGTTGAAGGCCAGCAATTACACGCATTAGCTGGATATGCCCAGTTTGGATATGCATATGGCCTATTGAGCTAACTAGCTAGGTAGCTAACTAACTAGTTGTTGCTTTTGCATTAGCTAGCTAGCTATTTCAACTTGCTAGACTCGCCAATTAGCTAACCAGTCAGCTGTATACCTGGATACAAACAATGTCAATATCTCTACTACCTAGCTAGCTTGCTAGCTAGCTCAAAACAATTTAACGTTACCTGCAAGAGTTCTTGCGCATTAGCCACCGCAATCTGGACCTTTACTTGCTCCATGATTGTCCCGGTGTCCATTTTACCGGATCCAGCACCTGATGAAAAATCGGAACCAAATCCGTCCATATCTAATTGTGATAATTTTATCTTTAAGAAATTAAACTGTAGCTAGTAATTACACGTGTAGCTCATGTAACCAGTTCGAAAAATTGCCCTTGAAACAATATTGTTCGACGACGTGACTTCCTGTAATTGTCTTATTCTTCTTCTTCAGTGGGGTTTATCGGCAGTTGGCATCCAACGTTATGGTGCATTACCGTCACCTACTGTATTGGAGTGTGGGCCAGAGACGGGGAGAAACTAAATCCTACCTGCCAGCCCCGTTGCTCTTAAAAAATATAACAATATATTTTAGACTATTTCTAAAGACGTTCTCCTCAATATACTCCTTAAACTAATTTCCTGTATCCCCTTCTCCCTCATACTAGATCTCATCCTCTCTCTTTCCCGCTGATACTGCCCACACTGTAGCAATACCTGCTCCAATGTCTCTGTTTCCTGACAATAATCACACTTTCCTGATCATTTTATCTTGATTCACTTATTGAAATAAAAACACAACAAATAAAATATGTCCGAATTGTGTTTTGGCCCATCTGAAAGTTTTTGAGACACATGGGTGTGTTATATTCCAACACATATATTTGACTGACACAATGTTTGTTCATTATGCATTATGCAACTATTTCACAATTTCTTCCAGCATACTGCCACACTGGTGTACATCATGTATATGGAATATATAGGGATATTTCAGAGGGAAGCAAAAGAATACAGTTTGCTGGGGATTATGGAAATTGGGACTTCCAATGATAAAAGTAGAATGAAAACACGTTGTACTCCAAATTGTCCCATTATTCCAACTGTTACACCAAGAAGATTGAATAACTGATAAAACTAGCAGTCATTCAATCTTCTAGGTGTAACAATTGGGATAATGGGACAATTCGGAGTACCACACATTTCTCATCCCTGGATTGAGGTAAAGTTTCCGAACCATATCTTGCGCCGGCTCCGTGGTGTCAAGCCTGTCTGACCCCAGTGCAGCTGTAAGCAGACCCCAGCGCAGCTGTAAGCAAGCGTTGGGTTTAAATCTATTCTGGCTAGGGCCAGTTAGGTCATTATTTACTGTATTTTTTTTATTGTTCAAGTGTAGCCTGTTCACTGGCTAGCAGATTGTAACCGGCATTTTGAGTAAAGCACCAACCAGGTGAACAGGAAGCAGCAATACTGTCTTCGTTCTCGATTTGGGGAAACTTTATCTTATAAATGTCAGTGTCCAGTTGCAGGTGGTTCTACACAAACCAGAGAAAACTCAGAAAGATATTAAATCCATGTTTTGTACCTCGCGAGGAGGTTCCTCTGCATTTTAGCTGCCACACATCTAGAATTTCCCAGCATCTTTGCAGGACTAGTCGTTTCTATGAGACGCGGCTGCTGCCACGTGTAGAAGGAGATGACAGAGTCACACAGTGTGACCAAAACAAAGATCTACACAGATGCAAGAGGCATTTCTCACGCAGTACAAAATATGGATTAAATATCTTTCAGAGTTTTCTCTGGTTTGTGTAGAACCACCTGCAACTCGACACAGACATTTACAAGATGCAAGTATCGCTGCTTCCTGTTCACCTGGTTGGTGCTTTACTCATAATGCCAAATTACACTTAGGAATGTTGATAACATCTTAGGAATGTTGAAATCAATTTATGAATGTTGATATCCATTGTTCTGCAGGAGCTCCACAGAGTTGACTGATGTGTTTGAAGAAGAGGACTGTATTGAGGACGAAGTGTGGAGTCCCCCTGTTGTAGACCTGAAACAGAAAATTGCCACTCAACTAGAAAACTATCTTACCAATGAAAGCCTTTCTGAAGATGTCTTTTTTCTAAAACATGTTCAGAGCATCAAGATGGGCTATGTCAGCGTGAAGTTACTAACCTCGTTTAAAAATGTAGGATTTATAGATGGCTTATGTTGTTGAAAACTATCCTGCTCACAGCACTATGGCCTGCATTGACATTTCTCTTGTTAACAAGTATAACCTTTGTAAATATGACTTAACCTAAACATTCAGAGTTGTAGATTAGGGAGCACACAACGCGATTGGCGAACCACGCTGGCTGCGGCACGCACCACACGGCAGCTGGAAGTCAACGAGGAGGGAACCAAGGTACGACTGAGGGACGCAGTGCCTGACTGGCTGCGGTGTTCCCACCAGCAAGCTGCTGCTGGCCTGGAACCTCCTGGAAGGAGAGGCCAATAATGACGAGGAGGAGAGCATAGCCCTGGGAGTGGAGCAGCCGAGCCTGATGGAGACAGCCATGAGACTGTTTGGTTGCCACGGCACCATCACCTCCCTCCGCATTCGCCGCCCAGGGAAGGAGATCCTGCCGAGCTCAAGAGGTACGCCAAGAAGTACACGGAGCTGAGGCATATGGTGTGTGCAGTGGTGGAGTATGAGTAGCTGGAGGAGGCACAGAGGGCCTATGAGGCCCCGCAGGCTGAGGAGTAGCTGCGAGGAACAGGGCAGCGCGTGTGGTGCTCCTAGGCAGCAGGTGTACCAGGAAGCCAGGGGGCAGCCAGGACAGCACAGAGGAGGAGTCTGAGGATGGCATCGAGAGTGTGTGCTCCAGGAAGCCCAACTGCAAGAGCAGGCGCTACCCGCGTTACTCCCTGGAGGACTCTGCCCTCTACAGCTAATTTGAGTCCGACTTTGCCCCCGCCTCGAGAAGGCCCAACCACAGGGTCACCCGGCCTCAGGCTCTGTACTGCAGCCACCTGTCCTTCCCCCGGGTGTCCTCCTTCTGCTCAGACCCTTACAGGAACCCAGTGAGTAGCCCTATGGGGAGCCCCCTCCTGCCTCACAAACTGGTCCCAAGTGGCCACACTCTCTCCCCGCTGGCTGCTCCAGTGTTCAGCAGCAGCCCTGTGACCAGTGGCAACGGGACCTTTGTCAGGAGCAAGTGCTCTGGGGACTATTCCCAGGATAGTGTGGGATCCAGCGCCGGAAGACTGCTGCCCATTCCTTCTTTCCTGACAGAGGTGGGCCCTTCTCGCCTGGCCTGCCCAAGAGGCCACTGGGCGTGGTGGAGATGCTGCGCCAGCCGCTTGGCCCTGATGGTGCTAAATGCTTCTACAGCTGCATTGGCAGGTGGAAGCTAGTACTGCAGCAATGATAAAGCCTGGCCAAAATTATCGCTATTGCCCAAAGCAAATAATTATTGGAATCTTATAATGTAACAAACCATATATTGTGCAAAATGACTTTTTATTGTCTCAATGTTTATCTAAATGAATGGAAAAAAATAAGTCACATTGGTCACGCCTGCTATGAAAATGTTATTTTATATTGATATTAATAAAAATGACTATGTACTTTCAACAGTGTTACATGTTGTTCTTCTTTCCCTTGATATTCCCAGTATGAATTTTTCTAATATCCTTCCCAGAATATACAATATAATCTCAGTACATTAGTATTCTGGGGTAAGAAAATAGGCTCGCATTCCTGTCTATAGGTGTCTTGAGCAGTTATCTGAACTTCCCATGCATAACTTCTAATGTATGCATCTCCACAGGGATAATGTTGTCAAAATAACATTGTCACCATAGCCTTTGTGTCAGGCACCATTCCCTGTGCCTGCATGTCTTCACTAGTGGGGTATGTTTGACAAAGATTTAAGTATAGTTTTTCAGTCACATTATCCCTGAAGTAGGAAGAGTAGCTAGTGACACAGCAAAGCTATTAGTAAATATTGTATAAATAAATAATTTATTCATGTAGCAGACTGGTCTGTTGCTAAAAAAAACATTCCTCATTGAATCAAAATACCTCTTCTCAGAAAATATTAATTTCTTAAATGAACAGAGCAACACACGTTTGACAGTTCAGAGGCGAAACAGTTCCCGTGCTAAAGCACAGGTACAATGATCACAAGAGGAACAGTTTAAGCTGCACAATCATGCAGTTGTACTTAAAGACATAGCAGACATAACACAATACTTTTAGCCACCTGATGATTTAAGCCAACACAATATATAATATTGCTTATATAATGACTAAGCAAAACAGTATAGTATTATTATAATGAGAGCACAACAAGGCATGATTTCCCCTGCTTTTGACCCTACTGGAATGTGACATCTATGTAGCATCTTACGTAATGCAAGAGTGAGTGTACTGTAAGAGGGACGCAAACTTCAATGTTGCATAGACTTTGCTTCACTGAAGCAAATATTGACGCCAAGAAGAGGCAAATGTATGTCTTAGATTAACCATTAAATGTGTCACGTTTACATGGGATACGTGTAGAGTAAGTACACTCACCGAAAATAACCTAAAGCACTTTAAATTGAATTGTCACTTTTAAAAAACATTGTTAGTGCAGAATGACTGAAACGTGTATACTACAGTCAAATGCATGGGATGGAGTAGAACCTAGCCTTGCATGTGCGACAGATGTACTTTCTGAACTCTGACCATCTCAACACTTTTTGACCTTCTGAACACTTTGAGCTGAACACAAACAGAGGTCATTTTTACACCATTTCCAAATGTTACATATTACAGTACAAAAAAACAGCAGTTACCACAGTAACTTATCTGAAATGTATGGACACCTGGTTATTGTCAGGTTAAGATGTGGAATCAAGGCAGATTAGTTTCCCTCTATTTGGTTAAATCAAAGGCTTTATAACATGTCAAGCAGTTCCCCTACGTGACGTCATGTTAACTTGTAAGTTATCTGCTTAACATACAGAACTACTTAGAGCACAAATGTTTCCTTTGAGATAAAAAAAATTAAATAACACAACATGCATGATGTTTTGAAATCTCATGCCTCTACTTCAAGTACCATCCTCTTCACTAACCTAACTCTTCTCAGGGGCCTTGTACTATACAGTTGTTCCAAACACTATCTCATCCAGCTCCTGGTCATCCTCACTGAGAGAGAAGTCTTTGTGGTTAGAGATGCGGTTGGGACTGCAGTTTGACTCCCCGTCTGTGAGGGATGTTTTGGCAGTGGGTTCACCCATCCCCACCACTGGCCCAAGTCTTTCTGCCTCAGCAATATGAAACAGCATACTGTCTAGTAAAGGCCTGCTCTTACAGATGTTGTCCAGGAGCTGGCAGCGATGTTGCAACTGGCCTATCATAGCATCCCTCTCCTTGACCATGTTCTGAAACCTCTGGATGGTCTCATCTGACTTGCACAGCTTCTCGTGGAGGTAGTACATCTCTCTAGAGAAAAAAAATTGATAAAGGTTAACATCGATTTATCTTTTTAAGCACATGTTTCTGCAGTCTCGAGCACACAACGCACATGTGAAACAGCAATAGTTGGTAAATGAAAGGGGAGCTTTGGCAATGCCTGAAGAGACAAGACCTCCATCACTTACTTATTCTTGGCCTCGGTGATCTCCTGGGTGGCAGCCCTCAGTTGCTCGTCCTTCCTGATGAGACTCTCTGCTTGCTCCCTCACGGTGTTCTCTGCTACCTCGAGCCGCTGCTCCAGTTCTACTACCCGCCTGTGCACAGCGGCCAGGTGTACGTTCGCCTCCCGAATTTGGACCGGTGATGGCGAGGACATGTCACATGAGGAATATGACACGACCTAAAAGTCCATTTACACTAACGTTAGCTCACCGTAGAAGAATGATCGTGACGATTGCCTCATTACTCGTGAACAAGCATTTCACCGGAGGGCTGGTGTTTACTCTACCTGCCATGGCTGCACTTTCTTCAGCGTTTGGTATAGGTCCTCCTAGCTCGGTAAACAACTGTACAATTGCACAAAAAAACATTGTTCCGTGTTATGATAGAAACCAAAACAGCTAGTTAAATAACGTTAGTTAGCCAGCTACCGATACGTCATCCTACGATATATCTAATCTCTGAAACTCATGAGAAATGTAACAATATATATAATTCCATGTGATAATTACGAACAACATGACTCGTGCAATATAATCGCTCGTTATCTGCAATGTTTTTATATAAAAGGCTGGATAATTTGAGTGAATTTCGCAACAGCTTTATAACCTGTGGATTAAACTCTGCCCCGGAAAGTGTCACTGGTTATTTTTTCTTCCTCTTTAAAGTTTTTATGGCAGACTACACCTATTGGTGTATTGCCGCCATCTACTGTATGGAGTATTTAAACAAAAAATATGACATTGTATAATACAAAAACAAATCAAACAATAAGCCATTTGGCAGACGCTTTTATCCAAAGCGACTTACAGTCATGTGTGCATTCAATTTTTACGTATGGGTGTTCCCAGGGATCTAACCCACTATCCTGGCGTTACAAGCGCCATGCTCTACCAGCTGAGCTACAGAGGACCACAAACAACCTACAAACAACCATCCCACACATTCAAATCACATCACTACACAGGCTCAGGTACCTGTGAGGCCAGAGCATTCATTGACAGGAGTTCTATGCATTGTCACTTTACCTCTACCCACATGTACAGTGGGGGAAAAAAGTATTTAGTCAGCCACCAATTGTGCAAGTTCTCCCACTTAAAAAGATGAGAGAGGCCTGTAATTTTCATCATAGGTACACGTCAACTATGTCAGACAAAATTAGATTTTTTTTTCCAGAAAATCACATTGTAGGATTTTTAAGGAATTTATTTGCAAATTATGGTGGAAAATAAGTATTTGGTAAATAACAAAAGTTTCTCAATACTTTGTTATATACCCTTTGTTGGCAATGACACAGGTCAAACGTTTTCTGTAAGTCTTCACAAGGTTTTCACACACTGTTGGTTAAGGGCTTATAAGTAAGCATTTCACTGTAAGGTCTACACCTGTTGTATTCGGCACATGTGACAAATACAATTTGATTTGATTTGTAATGCCACTGCAGAAAAATCCCTGAGTCCCAAAAATCGCTAAGCCACACTCACATTGATGCCTGTTTTCTCAGATTTCTTCTCCGTTTGCACTGTGCAGTTGATAACCAAAGTAATAAATGCTACAAAGTCCATCTTCTTAACATGCAACATGTCAGGAGCCCTCTGTTGACAATGAATATCATTTTGTGCCTCTACTCCTGCTACCATTACTTCTTCAACTTCACTCCTTTCTTCCACTGTTCTCAACGCTTCCGGATTGGAGACATTCTGGACAGCCCTTATTCTTGCCACCTCCGTCTCCTTCACCCTAACAGGACACTTCAGAAATTCAGGGGCATGTTCACCCCACAATTGCAGCATTTAGGCTCAGTTGGCATATTTTACATTTTACATTTTAGTCATTTAGCAGATGCTCTTATCCAGAGCGACTTACAGTTAGTGCATTCATCTTAAGATAGCTAGGGGGGACAACCACATATCACAGCATAGAAAGTACATTTTTCCTCAATAACGTTTATTTTATTTTATATATATATATATTTTTTGGGGGGGGGGTCGAGGTGAGGAGGAGGATTATTTCCTCCATGCAGATCTCCTCTAGAGCAGTGATGTTTTGGGCTGTCGCTGGGCCAACACGGACTTTCAAACTCCCTCCAAAAGATTTTTCTATGGGGTTGAGATCGGAGACTGGCTAGGCCACTCCAGGACCTTGAAATGCTTCTTACGAAGCCACTCTTCGTTGCCTGGGCGGTGTGTTGGGATCATTGTCATTGCTGAAAGACCCAGCCACGTTTCATCTTCAATGCCCTTGCTGATGGAAGGGGTTTTCATCA